ATGTGTGTTCCTTCAAGTTTCATAGAGTTTCTTAGGGAAGAAATCCTTGGGGGGAGGGTGACACTGGCCTCTATCAAAATATAACCTTCAGCACTTGTTATTCCTTTGATATCCCCTTCCAGGTACTAACCAGGCCTGATCCTATTACAGCAACAAATGTGATCTGACACTTTCAGAATATTTAGACTGGTTAAAAGGAGGAAGCATCTAAAGCAGTGGTTCTCAAACTGTGGTCTGTGGACCACCAGTGGTCCACAAGAACTAAAATAAGGTCTGCGGTCTTACCATTACTACACAGTTGCTGCAAAACCACACAGCAATGAGAGCAACTGGCATTGAAAAACCCTCTTATTGTGTCAAGGCAATTAGGGTGTCAGGAAGGGAGACGATGACTACCCACAAAATATTACTACTACCACTACATCAACTCTAGATTATTAAATATGGTTTTCTGTGGGTGAGCAGATGGTGACTACTGGATGGCATATGTTCTGTATCAGAAACTAGAGCTGATGTGGTCAGTCCAATAAAATTTTCTGAATCAGCACCCCAAATAACCAAACTGAATCTAAAGTTGACCAAAAACTGATTTGTAACACTTTTGGTAATAATGTTGGAGAGTGATTCCTGGTCACAGTGGTCCCTGGTCAAAAAAAGGTTGGGAACCACTGATCAAAAGATTATTATTACTCTTTAAAAAAACATGAAAGAGTGCAAAACCACATCCATATCATTGCAGTCTATAAATTGTAAAGCTATGAATGAATAGCTCAAAGGGTGGACCAAGTGGCTGCCCTGTTCCACGCTTGTTGTGCCATTCCTTACCCCTGCCACGGATATGCAGTGGGAAGCGGTCTTAATCAGGGAGCAGCTATGTTTGTTGTGTGCTACATCCATGAAACCATGATACTTGTATAATTTGTCAGAATGCTTCAGGACATCAAACTAAGGGCTATTCCAACCAATGTGAGCCCACATTGCTGTTCTGATTCAGTTTCAGATTGGTGTAGCAACTCAAACTAAGTTGAATTTGTGATCTTGTGTTGTCACTTTAATCTGAAAAGTTTAACACTTCTGGAAAATAGAAATTTAACTATGCCCCCTCTCTCCTAGATAGCTGTTTGTTAACTAGCCGAGGGTTATCATTTATAAGTAGTAGATAAGCATATGCCGTGCTTATGCAACAGCACACATATGGCTAGTGAGAACAAACCCTGTATTTCTAAGGAATTAAATTAGACCCAAGGGAAACTATTCTGTGTAGCACAATCTGGTAAAGGAGGCAAGCAAACCCAGGTGCTATTTGAGAGAACTCTCAGGTGGCTAAAATATATTTGCTCTTATACCCCTCAGGTAGCACATATGTTGAGGGAGTCCTTAAGCACCAAGGAGACATTCCCTGATGATTCTATATCCAGAGAGAATCTCTCTGCTTCCTTTCTGGCAATACAATGAAAACTGTCAGTACTTTTATTTAAGGAGCCAGCTTGGTGCACTGAGTCTAGGGTTCAAAACCCCACTCAACCATAGACACCCACTGGGTGACCTTGGTAAATCTAATTCTCTAAGAGTCAGAAGAATTCAATGAATCTAGTTTTGCGCCTCCATGGGTTTTTTTTTTCTGGCTATAACAGAAGAGTGGCTGTTGAAAACCAGCTGCCTTTGGTTACAAGTCGGATGGACGCAGCCACTAGAGGGGAAAATGTGAGGGTGAAAAAGACAAGGTACCACTCCAGGGCCTGTAAACCAAGAGAAAAGGGGGATTTTTAAAGGAAGCCCAGTGTAGGATAGATTGCTCTTCCCTGCCCTGGGAAGTGGGGTTTCTAGCCTCCTTAAAATGCCTTGGAAAGCTGTGCGCTGTACAGGGAAGAAGAAGGAGGAGGAGGAGGAGGAGGAGGAGGAGGAAGAAGAAGAAGAAGAAGAAGAAGAAGAAGAAGAAGAAGAAGAAGGAAGAAGAGTGCAACATGCACCTATCTCTTCTAGAGTAGAAACGGTTTTAACTAAGTATTAAACCCGGTCTCCTCTACAGACAGAAGGATCGCAGAAAGAGTGGTATCTTAATTCTGATGCTTTTAATCCATGTCTTAATGAAGGATATAAGGACAAACAATGCCTAAAATGACAGGAAGGGGAGCCAGGATGTCCCCTCCCCTCCATAATGGGCTGGATAAAAAATGAATCTTTTGGATTCCCTGATCAAAAACGGATTTCTGTCCTCCCAAATCCAGAAGGCTCTCAAAAAATGGATCAGGACCCCCACCAAAATCCGGGACACCAAAATGGGTCGCAGTTTACCCGGATTGCACAAGTCTAAAAGATACACAATTTTTGCCAAGAAAACCGCATAATAGGTTCACCACAGGATCTCTTTATGACAAAAATGACTTGAAGGGATACAATAATGAAAACCTGTGCAATTGTAGTTATTTCTTACTTTTGAACAGACTCCACGAATCACTAGCAATATACAGAGAGAGAGAGAATTTTTATGTTTAAATCTTTACCTTTAAGCTATAACCTTAAGAAGTATGTTAGCCAAAATATGCTTAGTTGAACCTTCCTGAAACTTACTTAATGCTAGGAGTACTCAAAAACGGGTGGTGTTGATTAGCACATGAAAAAAAAATTGGTTTTTTTTACTACTTTCCATAATCCGTGCACTAGCATAGGGGCACTCTTGTCAAAAAAATAACTTTTCCAGTTGTGGTGTTAATCTGTAACCTGCCTTTTTAAATTTCTGCATGTTTCCTTGCTGAACAAGTATGGAAAGTTAAAGCACTCTGGTGTTGTTTTTATTACAAATAAACACTTTGAAGCAACCGCTTGTTGAACTCAAATCTGAACTACTCCACATGGCTCACTGTCTGACAGAAGTACTACAGTCAACTTAAATCTGCTTTCCAGCATCTTGCAGCTGTGCTGCGCCACAGAAAACTAAATAGCTGGAGAAAACAAACAAACAAATGAATTCTTAAGGTAAACCCTGGTTTAGAAAGGATCTATAAAAAGGAAAGTATGCTTCACATTAACCCAGGCCACATAACAAATCTGGCTTGTAGAAAAATTTCTATAAATAAACCCTTGCATCAAAATTTTACTCCCATCTAGAGCACTTTCATTAAATCAATTGAAAAACAATTATTACAAAACATTTGTCAATTCCATTAATTAAGTGGATCTATTCTAGTTAAAGTTGGCTCAGGTTAAAGTCTTTAATTGCAGCTCATAAACTATCAGCTTAAATAAAGAGTTCAATTTTTCTTGGATGTTTTTAAAAAGAGATCGTATGTCAACAAAATGTATATTGTATTCCCAGGATGGATAAGACAACTTCAATCTTCCTTCCCTAACAAAAATCTAAATTCCCAGGAAATTCAAAATTCACTTCATTTGCACGTAACAGACCAGGGATGAGCAAAGAGTGGTCCTAAGGTCCCCTACAATCCCTTCCCTTAGGACAATGGTTCTCAACCTGTGGGTCCCCAGGTGTTTCGGCCTACAACTCCCAGAAATCTCAGCTAGTTTACCAGCTATTAGGATTTCTGGGAGTTGAAGGCCAAAACATCTGGGAACCCACAGGTTGAGAACCACTGCCTTAGGAAACTTTGGGAGATTTCAGCCCTTCTAGAGAACATTTTTTTTCTATTATATATTATGACTTACAGGGCTCCAGGGCCCTTTTGTAAGGTTTAACATCAAAAATCGCTGAAATATCACCCAACTTTGCAAAACCAATAATGGACTTCTGGCCTCCCAAGATGGATCCCAGGCCAGAAAATTACTTTCCATATCTACTTCAGTTATCCACTCCCATATTAGTGGATCTTGCAGTTTAATTATCACTGATAGTTTTAATAGCTTTACTGAAATTATTTTCAATGATTGTAGTGGGAAAGTAGGATAGAAATTAATATTAGTGACATCCAATAGTTACTCTTTTGGTTTTGGTTTGGCTTGTTTTCAGCAAGGTCTTCCAGTTTAGCTGGCTACAGAAGCACGTGGGATACATTAAACACGACTTCCAAAGTTGGACTGACTTACAAAAAAGCTCACTTTGCCAAGGACAAGCCCCAGTGGTGAAATGAAATCGGAAAGGATGGAAAATGTGCAAATGAGTTAACTTGTCAGTTTCACAATGAAGAAAATTGGACAGGACATTCATCCCTTCCCTAACAAATATCTTTGTCAGGTAGATAAACCAAACACTAATTGTAGTAGTAGTAGTAAGAGCAGAACCATCAGCATTAACCATAATAGCAACAATAAAATGGAACAACAAGACGACTCTGAGAGACACTCCGTGTATTGCACTGAGCTTCACATATTTGACTATCAACCAGATGGATGGAAGTTCAGAGTATATGCAGAGAGCAGTGAGTATTCTCTGGGTATGAGAATGTAGTCATTATGTCCAAGAATCATAATTTTATGTTGCTACCCAAGAAATTGAAACCAAAGATCAGGAAAATAGCTTTCTTTGAAATCCCACCTACCTGCACACAAACACACAGGATGAGCAGGATTGTCAAAGCTGTGGAATTTCAAACTATAAGTGAAAATCTGGTGTAGCAAGGAAGGATTTATATTTGGCATCAGAAAATGAAAAAAAATTACCAAGGCTGAGAAACTGATTTATCATCAATAAACATAGCACAGCTTCACTGAGAACATGCCCTTCATTTCACCAATTAGTGACACACCAAAGCTACAAAAACATTGGATGATACAATTGGTAGGAAATCAAGAGCATTTTCAATCAGTGAGTCAAGCTTATCATGAATATGGGCTTAATAAGATTACTATTTTAAAATGATCTCCAGATATTACACAATTCATTCCTTATTTCAGCCCTTCAATAAAAGAAACTGTTACTTCATCAGTTCTTTAATTTCTTTATGGGTATTTGCAAGCCTAGGGGCCAGGATGTGTTGGTTTCTTTTCCGTAGCATTTTAAAAAATATTACTGCGATGTCTGGAATATACACAGAATCATTTCCTACCTTGGGGGCTCGGGCGGGTTTCCCACATCGAGCATCTTTGACAAGGCTGATGTCTAACAGCTCTGATTCTTGCACCTGATGAGAGAAAACAAAATTGGTTTTATTGTTCCAGATAAATTGCACAATAGTATTAGCTGCATTTGTGGGAAGGAGGACATGCCACCCTTGAAGTGTTGCTCAATTGCAATTAGACCAACTAATGATAAGGGCTGCTAAGAGTTGCAATCCAGCAACATTGGAAGTACTCACACACACACACACACACACACACACCCTTCCTTGCGCAGAACATAGACAAAGAACTAAATTTGTTTCAATAAGAGTTATGATTGCTTAGAATCTGCAAGGTTAGTCACTGGCAGTTCATTTCAGATCTTTCAATGACAAGGATACAAGCATCAAAAGGCAATAATATACAGATTTAATAGTACAAGAGCAAAAACATAAAAATTACACAAACAAAACAAACAAAATGAAGGTCAACTGTGCAACAATAAACTTATTGTCGAAGGCTTTCACAGCTGGAATCCCTGGGTTGTTGTAGGTTTTTCAGGCTATATGGCCATGTTCTCCTGACGTTTCGCCTGCATCTATGGCAAGCATCCTCAGAGGTGATGTCCTCATAGATGCAGGTGAAATGTCATGAGAGAATGCCTCTAGAACAGCGTTTCTCAACCTTCCTAGTGCTGCAATCCCTTAACCCAGTTCCTCATGTTGTGGTGACCCCCAACATTATTTTCACTGCTACTTCATAACTGTAATTTGGCAACTGTTATGTATTGTAATTGTAAATATTCGACGTGCAGAATGTATTTTCATTCACTGTACCAAACTGGGCATAAATACCCAATACTTGGGGTTGGGGGGATTGATTTTTGTCACTTGAGAGTTGTAGTTGCTGAGATTTATAGTTCACATACAATCAATGAGCATTCTGAACTCTATCAACGATGGGATTGAACCAACCTTGGCACCCATGACCTACAGAAAATACTGGAAGGGTTTGGTGGGTATTGACCTTGAGTTGGGAGTTATAGTTCACCAACCTCCAGAGAGCACTGTGGGCTCAAACATTGATGGATCTGGACCAAATATTGGAATAAATACTCAATATGCCCAAATGTGAACAGCTTGACATTTGGGAGTTGTAGTTGCTGGGATTTATAGTTCACCTACAATCACAGAGCATTCTGAACCCCACCAATGAGAAAATTGGGCCAAGCTTCCCACGCAGAATCCCCACAACCAACAGAAAAATACTGTGTTTACTGATGGTCTTTGGCGACCCCTCTGACACCACCTCACGACCCCTCCAGGGGTCCCAACCCCCAGGTTGAGAAACGCTGCTCTAGAACATGGCCATATAGCCCTAAAAACCTACAACAACCCAACAAACTTATTTCTAATCATAATAAGTAATATTCCAAAAACATACACACAACTTAGTTATTTAGAAAAACAAAAGATAAACTCCTAAAAATGCAAGTTTAATAGTACCAGACATGTCTGCCTTATACATGAAAATTGTTTGTTTGAATGCTGCTATATTGTAAAGAAATTGTATTCTGCACAAAACATAGTATTTTGGATTTTTTTTTTTTTGTCGTGTCAGAAGCAACTTGGGAAACCAAGTTGCTTCTGGTGTGAGATAATTGGCCGTCTGCAGGGACGTTGCCCAGGGGATGCCCAGATGATTTGATGTTTTGTCATCCTTGTGGGAGGCTTCATTCATACGGCAAACATTCAATGCTGGGACAATAATTCATATATCCATACATAAACATTAAAAACATTTATCTCAATATTAAAATACACTATTTAAAACCGTCTTGGTCATCTGTGTCAAATCTAATTGGCCTGGTAATCTTTCCTATTGCTGCTATCTATCTATCTATTTACACACATACACAAATATTCTTAATGATGACACCCAAGATATTGTTAAGACATATTTCCTTATTAAGAATGTGATTACTTGCAAATACATTTCACTCCATTTGTTAGTAGTGATGAACCAGAGTAAGAGAAAACATAAGCGCCTGTCTGTAATAGAACTCATCAAATGCCACTTCTTAAAAATGTGAGACTGAATATTCTCTGGAGCTGAGCTCTCCCCGTGGTGTTATAACCGTATTGAAGATGTAAATTATCTGTATATCAAATTAGTTTTAAAAACAACCCTCAAACATGGCATATCAATTGCATTTTAAAAATGTAACACTTTTCTGTTAGGGGAAAGTACATGCTCATTTGGGGCATCTTATGCAACTACATGAATTTATCATTAGTTCAGTAATTCTCCAAAGATCGGGGATGTTTAAACCTAATGTGTTGCGGTATACTGTAACAATCCAGCACTGGCAATGTTTATGAAATTGAGCATCTCTTTATGCTAATACAGATAATTAGTACAGCTTATTTGCTCTAAATCCAAATCAGATACACAAGAGAAACACAGTAGTTAGTGCCAAAAGCTATTAAACCTGCTTTGCCTGAAGCTCATAAAGCAGTGTGATAACTAGCTGAGCTAAACAATGCGCATCAAGTGCTACTTATTCACAGTTGCCCTCTGCTATTTCTTTTTTCTGTGAACCATTGCCGATGGGGCTTCATAAGGCCTCTGTACATTTTGTTAAAACTCTGAAGCTTAAGTTGGTTTACCAGCTCACAAAAAAGGCATGCTTGATTTAGTCCAGGCGTGAGCCACATCTTACAGCCAGAAAGCAGGCCAAGGTTCACATGACTGAACATTCTTCCATGTCAATACATAGACTCCATGCAAAATAATGACATGTCACACATGTTTTTATTTTAATGATGGGAAAAATAACAATGTGCCAATAATCTTGGGATTTTTTTCCCTCTTAGGCTGCCCATTCTAGATTATTTTCTGGATTATTCACAATAAACTTGACCTTTGCACTTCATTTGGGGAAGGAGAGAGAATGCAGCCACCGTGAAGGGTCAAGGCTCAGGAGCAGAGCCCATTCTTTGCATCTGAAATATTCCAAGAGCAATACCTAGAAGTTCAATTTAAGCATTTAAGCATTTCAAGTATTGCGTGTAGAAATAGTGGACTGCCATTAAGAATAGATCCCACGACTTATTGTGTAAGAGGAGCTTGAAAACGTGGTTATTCCAGTGTGCCTTCCCAGAATAATGAACCCTTAGCACTATGTCCTCTAAAGCACCTTATACTGATTTAAGATTGTTTGTATGTTTCCACCAACACCCCATCTCCCTATCTGGTTCATGCCCAGCATTATTTTAAATTTTAATTACATTCAGCCCAGCCATAGATTTTAAATGTGTGTTGTGCTATTGTCAATGTTTATGCTATTTGTGTTAGAGATTTATTTTAATTGCTTTGTATTGTTGTTGTTATTGCTTGTATTGATGTATTGTGGGCTCGCCCTTATGTAAGCCGCACCGAGTCCCTTGGGGAGATGGTAGCGGGGTACAAATAAAGTATTATTATTATTATTATCATTATTATTATTATGATAGTGGTGAACAAAGCTCAGCTTTCAGGTCTCATGCAGCCCTTGGGACTTCTAAATATGACCCTTGAGATCCCCACTCCCCACCCAAAAACCTGGCCAGGGCCCAATCTTAGCAAAAATAACAACTGGGGGAAGGATGATTTTCAGGTAAATTTTGTTCTCCAATGTGTCAAAATTGCTTAAAATGCAGTGTTTTTTATGTCCCCCAAGCTCCCCCAAACTAACAAAAGTGCTGAGAATGTAGCCAACATGGCTAAAATTGTGGCCAGAAGCGACATCATGCCACTTTGGTCACACTGAAATGCACTGATAATCATCATCATCATCATCATCATCATCATCATCATCATCTTTGTATTGTCGAAGGCTTTCATGGCCAGAATCACTCAGTTCTTGTGGGTTTTTTCGGGCTGTATGGCCATGTTCTAGAGGCATTTCTCCTGACGTTTCGCCTGCATCTATGGCAAGCTTCCTCAGATGACCTCTGAGGAAGCTTGCCATAGATGCAGGCGAAACGTCAGGAGAAATGCCTCTAGAACATGGCCATACAGCCCGAAAAAACCCACAAGAACTGAGGGATCATCATCTTTATTTATACCCCGCCACCATCTCCCCAATGGGGATTCTGAGAGGCTTACATGGGGCCAAGTCCGGACAACATGTTACAGCAAAATAAAACCAAAATATAAGCAACACTGTCATGCGCCTGTCAATCAGGATCAGGGAGATAAAATTTATTTATTTATTTATTTATTTGCAGTAATTATATTTCGCTATTCTCACCCCAAAGGGGACTCAGTGTGGATCACAATGTACATATACATGGCAAACATTTAGTGCTGTTTTTGGCATATAGACAGAGGCCATTCAGCAGTTCTTCCATTTCGGATCCTGGAGGTTGATCGTTTCGGCCACAGGGGGAGATGTCGCTTCATCCACAACGACATCAACCCTTTTTGATCGTAGTATTTCTTCCTTGCTCCCTGGCATGTTTTTATGGTGTCATAAATTAGCCTCCCCGCTTTAAGCGGTCCCTAATTCCTCTACTCACAGTTCACAGCTGTTTTCGAACTGCTTAGGTTGACAGTGAGCTGGGCATTTTTTAACAGCTATTTTTTTAAACAGCTATTAACAGTTGGGCGCTCAGCCCTGACTCAGGCTTCAAACTTGCCACCTTTCTGTCAGCAGTGATTTATTTGAGCTGATAAACCAGTTGTGCTACCAGCCTAGACCTGTGCCACCAGCCCGGCCCTGGTCCCACCCCTGGCGTAAGAATGCACAATGTGATCTGACCTACTATAAAGCAACTTCAAATGTCGAGTTTTAGTCTTTTGAGTGAGATTAATTTACTTACAGCCAGCACTCCTCCCATTAAAGTATGAACAATGAATGGTCATACTGTGGCAGTCTACAGAGTCGAAAGGGGGAAAAATAGTCATAGGGAGATCAGGACCGGCATCCATCCCATTCTCCTCCTTGACCCCACAAGCTAATCTTCCAGTTTTCAACAAAGCAAGGAAGCTATTTGCCTAGTTTTGTCACACACACAAAAAGTGAAAAGGGGTGAAAGGC